ATTCAACAAATAATTTACACTGCAAAGGCTACACTCCAGCCATGACTCTTATATATTTTGACAGTTCTGAAGCTTGCTTAATTTACTTTCTGCCATTTCCAAATATGTCATTGCAGCCTCATGCCTATTCATTCAAAACCGCCAAATAAATATATTCTGAGCAACAGCTATTCAAGGATAAATCTAATTAGCATTAGGTCCCCTGAGTATTGAATTTTCTTTGTATCCTAGAGTGACCACAATTTTTTTTCAGAGAGCGATTGTGATTTCTATTAATTTAGGAATAAGTAGTAAAGCTGCACTTTTCAAATGTAATGTTACCCTTTTAGCCCTGATTGAAGGAAAATAAGCAAGACATCCTGGTTATATATTATAAGAAGTATAGCTTGCAGCAGAGCAGACTTTCCCTGATAACATGTACCATATTGTCAAGGTTTCAGGTTCCCTGCACCTGCTCCTAGTTGTTATTTCAGACACAAGAATGTCAGAGTTTAAGAGGATTATGTTACTTTTCCATTTTTGTTTACAAAAACGTTCTGACTTTAAAACAAGGGAACATTTCAAAGCCCCAATATTTCTCTTGTTGTGAAAAAATATATAAATATTGTATTCTATGTAGTTAGCCTAGGCATCTGCCTTTTGTAAATGTTTGTGAGAAATAGAATTGTGCTAGTGTTTAAGAAAATGATCAAACAATGGAAATAATGAGCATTTCATGCTTTTGCAATACTTAACCAACCACGTGAGCACAACAGGAATTCAATGACATCCAACAAGTAAAAATGAGTGAATGTTAAATATGCAAAAGTAAATTTTCAAACAAAACCCATACAGGTCATGGTCATGACCGGCCACGACATTTGCAGTTGTGATTGAGGCCTCCACAAGTACAGTATATTGTACAGTACAAAGAAGGTGTCAGGCATTGAACTACATGAATGATAGTGTCCACGCATGCTGTGCTACTCGAGAGAACCTGGCAGCAAGTACAAAGGAACTGTGTGGCTCACAGTTAAAGTGCACGATTATCCTTTTTATGTACGAGGACATGCATATAGGGAGAGCTAAGCTTAAAAAAATAATGAGCTGTAAAGCTTTACTTACCTAGAAAACAACCATTTGGAAAGCAGGGTAACAAGTGTGAGACCAGCGGAATAATGGAAATTATGAGTAGGAGAGTTAATGTGCTTTACTAATGATCTTTCATTAACTAAATTACTGTTTCTTAATCACCACTGGACCTATAATGAAAGGCAAAATTGGTGCACATTTGATGACAAAGGATATTATCACAACTCTGCTACTTGAATCAAGCTCGTTGTCCCATCAGAAATTGACCAGAGTCAGTGGGAGGGTGGTGAGCATTGCAGGATGTATGTATGTACAACTCTTCCTTTGTCACCGCACAGTGCTGAGAGCAAGCAACAAGTGCCTGTTTGTAACAATACTATAATGTTATCAGCGGTAAACCAGTAGATACCCTTTAAAGACAACATTGGAATAAACTTGGCAGAGGGGAAGAACAAATTCCTATTGTGCCAAATTCAGTTAAAATCCTTTAACATTTCAGAAAAATGTGCTTCTCGTCAGAGGGCTTTCCCATAAATCAATCCACTGCAATGTATAAAAAGTTCTAATATAGGGGTCAAGTTCCATGTCTCTCCACTTGAAACAGGTATTACATCTGTTTTTGTCATCCCCCCTGTAATTTAATTCATTGCATTGTAACTAGAGAACAGAACATCTGTTTTGGACCAATAAGGTTGTGTATAATACCAAAGCAAGGAATAGTTATTTGATTCTTATAATATATCGAAAAATACAAATGTTGATTAACCACAACATTTTGACTCACTTGTATAGTGTTGAATTATTTACAAACATGGTCCTGTCAGTCCAGTGGAATGAAAGTCACTGCTTCTGAACTACAATATTTATTCAACTGTATCTGTTAGATACTGGTTGCATCCCTTGATTACAAAATCAATGTCTTTATTGTTTGGACATTAAGGTGATCATAAAATTAAAAAATGTGATTTCTTTGTAATTTGGAAAAAAAAGACAGAACTTATATAAAGAATGAATCAGAGATTGGAACATTGCACCATCATGGACAAAAGACTTGTTGGGGAGGGGAGAGTCAGAAAGAACGTCTTGACTTTGATATAATAATTATATACCAACATTATGTCCCATAGTGGTGATGTTTAAAACCTATTTACTAGGTATAAAAGCTGAATGTGTGGCACTACGTGATTGCTTCGGGGGCGGATGGGGACTCAAACATAACCGGGATCTTTCAAAGCTTCAACTGATGCTTTTGAGTTCTCTGAGATTTGAGATTCCTAGTTTGCTCTAGAATCTCTGGACAATCCAAAATCCCTTTACTATCTTCCCCTCAAAGTCCAACAAAATAAAACAGCGGGCAGTGTTCAGTGACACTAATTTTATTTAAAATTGCAGTATTGTAGGGAATCATCCAGTGGAGCAATATTTTTTTCTGTTTACTCTCCCATGGTGTTACAATCCGCAGAAATATTACTTTTATGTAGTCTTATTATTGTGAAAGCAGCTTGAAGGAAAATCATCTCCCGGATGAAAATGGAATTTGATAAAGAAAAAATCATTTCTATTCTTCAGAATCAAACCATGGTATTCACCTAACATTGAGCAAACAAGGGAATCTTTTTAATCTGGACATAAGTCCTCGGAGAAGCTCCCCAATGTTGATGTAACTTTTGACCTTGAAGCCTTGCTCTTGCTGTTGGTTCTAAAGTAAACAACCATCCAAAGCTAATATTAGGAACAGTTGTTATTCATTCCACTATGTTTTAAGAGAACAGATGGCAATTGAATATCACAAAAATCCCTAAAATTATACAATAATAATAATCCTTGCATTTGATGTAGTCTAGAACCATTGCTTCTGTAACTTGGGTATAACTTGTTAATGAATAATTTTGTTTTTAAATCAATCTATATTTCACAATTTGTAATGAAAGTTGCAAAATCAAATGACCTTCATCTACTTAGGTAAAAGATGCATGGAATTCTCAACTGGTTTGGATTCCCTTAAGCATGATGATGGATTTCCACATGTGTCAAGATCCCCCTGCCCCCCAAAAAAACTGTATAATTCATAGCATGAGTTCTGTTCTTTTAAACAATGTAATCAAATATAGCAAGTTGGTATTATTACTGTAAGACACAATTTGCATTTCGGAAAGCTTGTGTTGATAATTGGAGGGACAGTGCATCAACACACTTGTTAGATGTGTTGGAGGTCAAGTTAGATGGGGGGTAGGGGATACTGCTGTTGTAAATCTTTCAGGAGCTTCCACATGCATCAAGCAAAGAGACACTTGGCTACTTTGCTTTGTTAGCTGCAGACTTGCACATCATAGCATAGTTTCAGTCAATGAAATTTAAGGAAAATCATATTAAATAACCCCCAGAAAGTCAGTCAAAAATTCAAAGTGACAATATATTTCATTGTGTTTTCGATACAAATAATTATCCCCAAACATTGTGACTTTAAACAATGAAGCTCTGCAATTTTCGAGGTGCAAAGAAAACAATAAGATTATTCTGTTCCATGAAATAAATTTATTGCTGCAGACATACTATTCTGCTCTGTTTTTTTTTTCAAATTTGTCCCCTGCACTTAAATTCGAAATCATGGACTGTTAAACAATACAAATTAGAATACAAATTTACATTTATATAGCTTATTTAAATCAGGAGGATGTCCCAAGGCGCTGATGATATGAATCTAACATTAAAAGTTATAGTTTTAACTGTTAATAAATGCACAGGGACAAATTTGTGAAACTTAAACTTGGCAGAAAAACAACAACTAGCTTACTGTGTGGAACAGAGTATATTCCTAAACAAAACTATATTTCTGCATTGTAATTTGTAAGGAACTAATCCTTCAAAACTAATCTAGAATCGTTCTTCTGTGATATTGCATTCTTTGTTGTTATAAACAAGATCTTCTACTCAAAAAAGGTCTTTGTTTTTGTTTGAGCGTTTGGGTTTCAGCAACAGTCGCCAAAGGAATACAACTGTAAAATTATGTTCTTTATGGGATTGTTATTTTATTCCCTTCTTTACCCTTTTCTAAATACTGTATTGTAAAGTTAATGCTTCCATTCACTCTGAAATTGAAGTTAATAATGCTGCAACTCGCAAGTCATTTGATTTATCTCCCCCCAGCACAGCAATGATAGAAAAAAGTATTCAAACATGCACACGGGAAACTAAACTACACACCATCTTATCTTTTTAAAAATTTATTTTTGCTAACCCTTTGTAACAGCTCTTGCAATGATCTTGCCAAGCTATATGCAAGCAAAACTATGCAACAATAAAGTTAGTCACCGATAGCTACAACTGCCTTGTTGTCTGTATTCTAAGACCTACTGGCATTAACGATGGTTTCCTTTAAAAAAAAATTCAAAAAAAGAACAATTTGGTATTAACATACAGTGCCTTTAGTGCTCAATATTTAAATAACAACACCAAACTTTAAAGCTATAGAAAATGATGCAGCATCCACCATAAACACACTTATTATTTAGTGGACATTACGTTAAAGTGTGAAAGAAAGCTTACATTACACCAAAGCAATAGTTATGACACATGCTAAGTTTATATTAAATTATGTTACAGTGTTACTCAGTGCCATTGGGTGGATAAACTCGTGTTCCTCTTCCCCTTTTCAAAAAACAAATTGAATGCAACAAACCCATTTGTAGCAACTTAACACAACTGCAAACATCAGGCTTTATCCTCCAACGATGGGGAAAAAACAATAGCAGTTACCTGAACATAACTATTCCCCCCCCCCCCCCCCACCCTCCCCACAGATCTAACTCATTTTTTTCAGGCCACACAAACCATCAGAGTCATTCACTCAGACACAGCACAATCTGCCTCGGTCACACAATTACACATTACATCTTTCCAGGTAAAGCTTCATTATCAGTTGCACTTACTGCAGTGCCTGGGCTTTGGAGTCAGCACTGAAGGCAGTACCGTCCAGCCCCACATGGTGCTATGAACTGAAGGGCTTCACTCAGCACATCTCATCTCTTCTGTGTCTGCAGCTCTGAGGGCAACTGCAGTCTCAAGGCTGGGATTGTGTGACTGAGTCAGACTGTGCTGTGTCTGGCTTTGGCTGCAGTTTCTGCTCGACCTATCCCATGGCCTTTCTTGACTGCTAGGTAAGCATCACCCAGGTCCCCACACTGAAACAAAGAGTGCTTTAGAATCAGCTACAAGTCCTTCTTATCTGCTACTTGCTGCATCAAATATTAGAACAAATACAAAGGGCGCTTTCTAAGAATTCCAGCAGCAAGATGTAGGTTAAATACATCTTTAAAAGTTGTTCCGTTTTGGAAATTGTCAATTCATTGACTAACTTCTGAAAAGGGAAGATAATTTTTTTAAAAAAAAGAACAGGATCGTTGATCCAAAAGATTTGAATCCTATACGATGCTTAAAATATCTCTGAATGTCTCTAATTAAATAAGGTCAACTGGCTTTCAGGAAAGCTATAATCAGTGAGAAACTGGGCACTGACATTTGGCAGTAGACCAGTGTATCGGACAGTTCCTTAAGTCTTTATTTTAATTTAATGGGAGCCTGGACAGACTAATGTATTTTTCATTGCCAAGGACAAATATTCCAGTGTTGGGTACCTAACCTACAATTGTTATAACTGCATTCATCGCTGCCCTTTACACAGGAATGATTTCGCTCGCTGTGAGTTGGAGCTCACTTCCATCATGTCCTAACGTTGGAGTCAGTGGTGATCATTAACCAGATCATTTGCACATCAATGGAAGCTGGAGATGTCCTCAAAGCTCCATCTGTGCCCCCACCCCAATATCAAGAACCAGATAGTTGTTAGGCACAAAAGTCAAAAAATCAAACTTTTGATTAAAATAAATTCATTAAAATAATTTTTGTTTCTGCTCCACTCTACGACTTTTATTCTTGTGCTCACTCAGGACTGTGGAGGCAGAGATCCAGAGAGAGATACAGAGAGAGAGAGAGACGAACACAAACAGATAATCATAGAATTATACAGCACAGAAGGAGGCTATTCGGTCCATTGTGTCAGTGTCGGCTCTTTTTATTTAAAAAAAGAGCTATCCAAATCAATCCAACACCCCCGTTCTCTCCCCATAGTCCTGCAAACTTGTCCTCCCCAAGTTGGAGTCTATGAGATAGAGACACACCCACCCACATTCAGGGAGAGAGAGAGAGATACACACATACAGAGAGCTAGACACACAAATACAGAGAGACACATTCTCAGCGTGAGAGAAAGATGCACACACAGAGAGAAGCACACACACACACACTACTGGTCCTGAGACCTTCTGCGTCTGTATTTCTCAGCTATTTGCTGGATAAACTCTGAACCATCATGTGGGGGTGTGAGGGAGGATTCCTAAATGTAAATATTATTAAGTTGCGAATATCTAATATTTCTAGTTATTCTGCACTTTTCCCAATAGTGTTCTATCTCTCATCAATTACAATGGGAAGACAGATCACAACCGTTTCCTGTGCCAGTGCATCTCTCTCACGTTGGCTGGAATATACTCTGAGGTCTTATAACTCAATTTTCTTCCCCTCAGAACCTATCCTTTCTATGACATGTATTGAATGAAAGAAATTACAGAATTGGAGGAGACCGTTTGATCCACCGATGGTGCCAACTCTGGTACGAGAGGAAAAATATTATATTCTTAACCAATTCCCTGTTCTTTCCTCAAACCAGCCAAGCTCAGTCTCAATTAACGCCTACCATTTGATTTATCTTGTCTCACTGGTTACAGCAAACTGCACTATGATCCTTAGCTCTTCACCAATGCTCAATAAATCTATTTTACAGTGACGCAGTGATTTACCCTGCTCCAGTGTTATAGCACTTCTCAACTTTGCCTAGATCTTTTCAATCAGAAGAAAACAGAACTCTAATACACGTTGCAGTGTATTGTTTAGCAGCAGCTAATAAATGTGTGAGAATTGTGCTGGTTACAGTTATATTACTGCAAACGGTACAATGTTCTTTTTGCACAGAAATGTAGAGTTTCTATCACTCAAAAATATTTGATTATTGATAGGTTAAATACAATAGATATCCAGAAATAGTAATATAACCAATCAGCCAACCAATCTGACAAATTCTCTACATTCTTAATCTTCCAACCATTATCAGTTACAATAACATTCAATATGTACCGCTGAAGAGGCGGAAAAGATTACTATTACATATCTGATGAAGGGTAATCAATCTGTTAAAGTGGTGGAAGTTAAAGAATTCTATTGGATTTTTATTCTCTGCACTTCCACAATCTGTAAAATTGATTGCCAATGCTATGTTGGAGATGAGACTCAATAACAATAATATAGCTGAATTTGGGAAATGCATAACATGATTTAAGTACTGGAATCCTTAGCGAGTTAAGCTACTCAATCATACAAGTTGGGCACAAATGCTAAATTGCATTTATAACCTAAAATGACTTGATTGGAACCATTCAGTGATCAAAAAGAATTAATTCCATGTCTCTTTTGGCTCAATTTGTCTACAGTGACTCTTCCAAATAAGGTTACAACATTCCTAAGAACTTTCATACTGTATGTTTTACTTAATTTTTACCTTCTTGAATTTGAAACAGTGAAATATTACATAAAGTTATTGACTTGATGTAAGTTGCCTATGCGTAAGTATTACTGTATTACCATAGTCAAGGTTGAATTTGAATTAATAGGAGAACTGACCAACGTAAATAATGTTAAATCAAATAAATTGTCAAGACTAAAACATTTATACTGTCATTTGTTTAACTAATGGACTGTTTTTAAATAAAATGCACTAAGTTAAACGTATACTTTCCAAGTTTTTGTTTCGTCTGTAGGATTTGTTCTCAAACTGTTGAAACAATTTAGCTTCATTATTTATGTTTTGTTATTCATAGGCAAAGGGTACTCAGCAATGTCGGTGAAGTACATTAACTTCATTAAATTTCACCATAATATATTTGACCACTCACAAATGAATTGCAACATACACAAGTGAAAGTCTGAAATACCTCATTGATCAATATGGTGCAATTCATTTATACTTCTGTGAGACCAAATCAACATTCTGAAGTATGACAAACTGCCAGGCAAGAGATTACGATTTACAATAATAATAAATAATAATCCTTGCATTTGTTGTAGGGACTTTGAGATTGGGATAACATTTCAAAGCACTTCACCATGATATATTATAAACTATAGTGACTGTGTATTTTGTAGGGAAACATGGCAGCCAGTATAAAAATAAGGAGTTGCTGCCACTCTAAAACTCTGTATCAAAGTCCCAACACCCTGTCCCTTCTCTTGCTTCCTTCAAGGTCCGCCTCAAGACCTTCCTATTTCACCATGTTTTGGCCATCTTTATCCCCGCTCCCCCTTTGGCCTCACCCCCTCGGTGTAAACCCTGGACTGTCCAGTGCCTTGGGATGTTCTCCCGATGTGGAAGGTGCTCCATAAATGTAAATTGGTATCGTTTGTCTTTTCTGAATCAAAATTTTTAAACTTAAAAAGAGCAGTGCAGAATTTAGGAGAAATGCAATCGAAATGCCAACAAATTAGATTGGAATTCTAAGAAATTTGCTCCTTGAAACGGTGAATTTTTATGGTACGGCTGCAAGACAAAGGAATCTCAGCAAATTACAACAACAAGATTACATTTGTATAGTGCCTTTCACGTCGGGAGGACGTCCCGAGGCACTGGACAAAGTACAGCATTTCAGACGGAGTCGGGCGATGTTACGGAGAAATTAGGTATAAAAGTGATACTCGCAGAGATGCTAACACCTACAGGAAATTTCATGTGCATTAAATTTAACTTTAAAATTTAGCAAGATTTTGGCAGGTTGTTTATAGAAATGTTTTTCAATACTGTATTCATAATAAATTGAAGCTGCTCCTTTTATTAAATGCTAATACTCATGACCAGAAGTAAATTGGGAACAATCTCCCAATATATAAATATTTCACTAACCACACTGAAACATTGTTAATGTTTCATTAGATGCCTTGGTGACTATCAAAATTGGAATGGCGCAGTTCTTCAAAAGTGATCAAAAGTGCACAAAATAAATTGTAATCTTTATTTTCTGTCTGGATGTCTTTAAAGCTTAATTTTTCTAATGGATTATTCAGGCTGCTTTCTCTGATTTATGTCAAAATGGATCTATCTCAATTATGACATAGTATTTTTCTTTAATTTTTAACCAATTTAATAAAAGCTACAATGTTGCTTTAAAGGCTCATCCAATTCCCATTTTCAAATGAAATGAATGCTGCATTAAACTTGAATAAAGTGTATTTTTTTTTCATTTTCTTTGTTATTGTCTCTCTCTCCGGTGTTCCTCTCCTGAAGACACTGGCTCATGTTGGGATATAATTCAATGGGTGGGACAAGTACCTCAACCAAGTGGCTAATTTGTCTGTTAGCCTAGACAGTGAGTTGTGGTCAAGCTTCGCAACCATATGGGGAAATTGGTTTTAAATGAATTAGGATCGTACACCCGATTTTGTGCTACGTTAGATTCAGCAGTGCTTGTGGATCAGTCTGTTATACATCAGTCTCTATGGGATTTCCCTGAACATTTAATTTCCTTTAGCTCAATAGAGAGTCCTTTCTCATGAGATGCTGACATTTGACATGCTTCGTTACAAATTAGTCTTAAAATTGCAACAAACATGAAAGTAGCCAGACTACTTTTGACAGTGAAACAACATCAGGGATGCATTCAGTGCATCAAAGAGCACAACAACAATTTGATGTTTTGTTTATTCTCCTGTCAACTTTGCATGTCACTGGAATCTATTATACCGCAAGTTAAAAATAACAATTATCATTAAGTCTTTATGTAAGGATTTCCCATCATGAACTCGTTTCCAAAAGATTGTTATGTCAATAATTGGTAGGTGTCGATGTGTTTAAATAATTTTGTATCATCGATGAGGATGGATTTTTTA